GGTTCAGAACAGTTTGGAATCAACTGAAAAAGGGGAAAGTGGGCAATGGCACCCTATATCTGGGTCTCTAAACAAGGTTCTATCAGGATAGTCACTGCTATTCAGGGTTTAATGTCTTATTTATTTCATTTTTATTCTATTTTATCCAACTTATAACCCACCTTTCCATTCAAATGCAAACACAAGACAGCTAGTGATAATAATAAATAAGTTAGGTAACCCTATATGGCTTCTAACTTATTTAGACCATAAATTAAACTAAATACTAAAATGAATGAACAGTTGAAAGCCTGGAGAAATTTTACAGACTTCTAGCAAGAGGGAGTAGAAGCCAAACACAACTCCTGAGGGAGCACATTTCATAGCCTGGGAAAGCTGTCTCCTCCATACCAGATAAGCAAGTTTCTGACAGTGGATATTTATATCCTATACTGTGTTCTATCTCTGTCAATTATTTTTGCCTTAACCACACCCACATGCATTTGGACCCACCAGTTTTTGAGAACCACTTTCAGCCTGACACCTAAGATGAAGGACCACCTTAAAAAAAAAAAAAAAAGTTGTCTACCCCATCCTAGTGAAGGCAAAATCTGTAGTGCAAATTTTCCCTGGTTTCCTTATATATAACCACCATAATTTCAACCAATATTTATTATGAAATAAGATGAGACTTTAGAAAGCTGTAATCAGAGGTTGATTCCAGCAGCTGTCTTAACTGCCAGTTTCTGATGTCCAAAATGTACATCAATGGCAAATCCAACTTGACTGCCATTAAATATACAGAGTAGCACCACTCTTTGTTGCACATCATAGTCTCTTCATCTCCACACTGCCAGCTATAGAATATTAAGTGAAAAGCTGTTTCAAGACGAAAAAAGTCCTTGATTTGAATTTTTTGAATTTCACTTTTACTGTGAGTTTGTTGAACTAAGAATGCCTCCATTGTCTCAGCCTGTCTCCCGCCCCCACCCCTATTAATTGGTCAACTTTTCAGGGCTGTATATTCTGCATTCTGGAAGACATTAAAGATATTCTATATTATTATTAATGAGTACCATGTTCACAGCTTAATTTAAACCCGGGAATTTATGAACAAATAGTTTTAGTACAATTCTAAAATTATGGCTTAGGGGAAAAAAGGATCCTGGGGTATTTTAGAGTCTAAGAAAATGGAGATTTTTTATTATTTATTTTTAGATCTTATGATTAAATTTTCAAGAGGAACTCAATAGTATTTGTTTATTTTATCTCTTTTTAACCTTGGTAGTTTGATTATTGAGCCCTGCAGAACTTGTTCCTGACACTGAGCCAAAGCTGGACCAAAATCTCAGAAGAAATCAGTTTTCCTATCAGGGCATAGCATCTGGAAACATAATTATAAAACCTTTGTTAAAATATATAGAAGTTCAAAGCTCCAAATCTGACCAATTCTTTCTTGTCATTTCTTATTAGTGCTTTCCAAAGGAAGGTGTCTCAACTCTCCATGATGGCTTTAAGCAGTGCCTAATATAGAAGGAGCACAAATATTACTTGGTTATGTGCTAGTTAGATTTCAGCCTTGATGTTCATATTTCTCATACTTCAAACCTGCAGTGTTCCTGAACAGGTACGGTCAAGTTTAGGGATGATGGAGAAATAGCTTTGATGTGGGTTTAAACATGAACTTACTCAATTCACACTTTTAAAACTAAGTGAACCAAAACAAAGTTCTGGATTCTGCAATGCAGTATGCAATTAAATTAAAATAGAAATATGTATATTAAAGAATTACAACCTCCCATCCCTAGAGACAGTCTCTGCTATAAATTGTTCTTCTGCAGTATTTCTACATTATACGTTAGAAAGTGAAAAGTTAATTACTGATTGAAGGCATATTAAATACTTTCTTTAAGAATCCTTTGTGTATTGTTTGTTATTGCTTGGATCTGAAAGTTTAAGATTCTTGTAATTCACAAATCTCTATAAGGCACCTAGCACACATCAGATAGCTGTCACTGCTGCCCCAAATTTAGCCAGAGAATGAAAAATATACAAAAAGGACTTCAAGACACACATGTTCTCTTCTTTAGTTCTGGGACTTCCCCTTTTCCCAACCCATCCTCTTAAAGAATATTTTTCAAGTGACATCAACTAGACAGAGACACTTCTATAAGTCCAAATAGGAGCTTTTGATTCCCCAAGACAATGCTAAGTTGTATTAATAAATTGAAGGCAGGGTTTCTACAACAAATGAACATGTCTGAACCACAAACTTAGCCAGCCACATTTAGCCTAGCATATTGTGCACCTTGGCCCAGCTAATTAGTTTATTTAGTGTGTTCTGCAAACCAAAATGAAGTAAGCAGTAGTAAAGATAATCATGGGTAAGGATATTGTGCAGATACAGTATGTCTGTCTAGTATATTGTCCTAATTCAGCTATACTTTTCCTCATATGATCCTCACAAACACTTAGGAGGTAGATGAGGCTAAGATACCATACTAGAAGAGTATAATAAAGACTTAAAGTCTGAGCACATCTTCTCTTTAATTACAAATAGCATGCAGATCCTAATTTAGATCTGGACCATGTAGCAAATAAGGTTTAAATTTGCCTTTCCATCTGCTTTTTAACAGTGTGTTTTGTTTTTTGCCTTCCCCAGCATGAGCTTTTTTAAAAGAAAAAAAAGTACACACTCTACAAATGCAGTTTTTCTTCATCCCCACTCCTGCTTGGCGTTTGCAAATATTAAGGAAAAAGCCCGCAAGATGAAGATTGAAATCTCTGCTTGCACATGTTGATCCTAATCATGGATTTGCACACTTGTAATTAATAGGAGAACAGAGGTTCAACAGACTTCTGTTATGAAATAGCCCAGTGAGTTCATAGTTACCAAACTGAAAATTTGGACAGCATCTCCAGGGTTATATTAATCTGCCACTATACCGTGACTGACTGCTTCTGCAGCACCTGAAACCTCTATGGCAGTGTTGTCCAAACTTGGCCACTTTAAGATGAGTGGACTTCAACTCCCAGAATTCCCCA